CCCCCAAAAAAAAAACAAAAGAGTGCCGGTAGAATCCATATTTAAATTCTTGACTCATTTTAAGTGTTTGCCAGTTGTATAACAATAGTTCACATGAGCCATCTAAATATTTGTTTATTATACCTTTTTGATAGACTTCTAAAAACTTATATTTAATGTCATTGACGTAATTTTTTGGTTTACCAAAGATCACACATTGTTTTACATGGTTCTTTTGGGTTCCTTAGTGGATGTATGCCGATAAATATTAACCGACAATTCTGTTAGGAAAGCCATCCAGACAGAAGCAGATGGGCAAGGAAAGAATAATCAAAGAATACGGGGAGTCATCTGAAACTCAATATTTTTTTTCCAGATTAATGGAGTTCCCTAACATTCAATGAGTATATTTATCCAATGGATAGTCTTAAAATTGCCACATCACTAATTCACTATACGCAGTTGGGGCAGGTAAAGGTTTCTCCTTCGCTATCGTCTCCGGTCTAGAAACGTTAGAATCCGTGTTCATAGCCGACGCCTGACGATCATCTTATCTGAGTATTGGAGAATGGAGATCAATGAGCTAATAAGTAATAATTATAGTTTTAAGTTGCAGGATCAGAGCTTCTAAAATTCTGTGATCAGCCTGGTCGGTGGGGTATATTAACGTACAGCCTTAGGCCATCATCATGCTCGTGTCCTTACCATCCAATCCAATCAAAATGGCCATTTAATCCTCATAGCCGACGCGATTGGCTTCTGGTTGTGATTTAGCCACTAGCAGATAGTCAAGTGGCCACTTCTGATGGGGCACAAATCGATACTGGGACTTTACAGCGAGTTCAAATGCAGACAGTAACTAACCCGAAGTGCGTTAATGATTAAACTAGACCTGTGGCTTATTGTGAAGCCTTGAAAGAACCGAGTAGGTCCCAAGCACCTATCCTATCTGAAACTGGATGCAAGCCCACTTCAAACACCCAGATCTCTACTGAATCCTTCAAATCTAACAACTCACAAGAAACAAAGCCTCACCCACAGATCTCCAAAACAACAACCAATTTCTCAATCTTCATAACGGATCAAGCCAGTTAACTTTCACTCTAAATAAAACGTCCTTCCTTACTCTGTCCGACTGAATTACAAGTTAATAACAAATACAGGATGACGCCTTATCAACCGGCTGCCAATGTCACAAGCAAGATAAAACCGTAAGCTATGAATAATATAGAATTATTTGTATTTCTAGGATCCTGTCAATGTCACATCACATGTTCCGTACGAGGAAGGCCTTGATCTCATAGAAGGGGACAAGATGAGCACTCACCGACATCACTCGATATATCATTTCCTGCTTTATATTCCTCCCAGGATAGTGAGGCATGAAGATTGTCATGAGGAATCGTTATCATGTGGAGCATTTTGAATAAGCAACTGATCAGCCTCCGCATCACCATTCTACAAAAAAAAAATGGATTTTAGAACTAAATTAATAAGCTTAAAGTGGGAAAGGAGAACAAGTACTTGAAAAACCACCTATTCCTAGGGTAAAAGCTCTGGCAATGATAATTCAAATGACCATAAGCCAAATGCACCGGCAGCTTACCTCATTCTGGTTTGATGAAGGATTATGTGCAGGTGGCAAGGGTCCAGTTTTTGAGAGGTCTCTCAGTGTTCCCTGCAGGACAATTCAGGGAGAAATTAGAAGTTTGTGTTATACGAATATGTAGCTGCAAGGACATATGGTTCAGAGGCCAAGGCTTGTGTTGAATATATATATATATATTTGATCTATAACAGAATGTATTCATTGAAACCATTAAGAAAGATGGGATGGAGAGATAAACTCTCTTATCTCTCCCTAAAAAAGAACAAGTTACAAACAAGCCCAAAAAAATCGATTTCTTCCCACCCCTAGCTCTGCCAAAGAATCAGCAAAAGAACTAGCATCTCTTTTCACCCAATGTAAAGTGACCTCCATCCCCTGGAGCAGCATTCTAATCCACCTCTGATGAATATATTCCCACCATCCCTCATCCTCTTCCTTTTGCAGCCATCTAATACCAACTTTGCTTTCTGTATTCCTTTCATAACAGGAAGTATTTCAGCTCTTAGAGAATCACCTACCCTATTGGACTGGAGAAAAGAGCAATAACTTTTCCTTCCTCAGTTCTGAACACACCTCCCAATACCAGATGGTCCTAGGTTGCCTTCACTGCTACCATCAAAATTCAACTTAAAGAAGCCTCTTAAAAGTGGGGACAATTGAAGTCTATAAGTCACTTTAAGAGGAGCAGAACCCACAATTCCCTTCTACTTCCTCATCAACTCACCTGCTGGAATGTCTTCAAACAGCTTCAAGGTCTTTACTCAATGAACACTCTGATGGACATGGCTTCTATAATCGCCTCCCTACTCCTTTCTTTTTCCATGAATATTCTTTGATTCCTTTCTTCCCAGAGTGTCCAACAAACTGCCGCCCTTGTGCATCGCCATAGAATTCTACCTCTCTTATTCGACTATCTAAAAAAGTTAGAGGAGAATAGACTTCAAACATTAGGTGGGGGATTCCATTTACACACCCAAACAAAGAGAAACCATTAAAAAGGACAGGAGATTAATAAATGATAGCAGGACTCACCGCTAGCCTTACAGAGAGGGTACCAGGATGGTGAAAGACACCATCCAAGTCTGTTTCTTTGAAGCAAGTTACTTGTGTTGATTCTTTCCAGATATGCTTCCCAGCAAAAACCACCAATCCTAGGTGGAATAGGTGTAATCCATACCACTTTAACAGGAAAAGGCTCCCCCAAACTATCCCTCAGTTGTATCAAATTCAAGAAGAAGGAAGCACAGGTAAAGGAATCAAAGGGAGAAGGGGTCCAAATTCTGCAGTCACTTTTTGAAAGATCCAAACACAACTTTTTCAAGATTTTGAAGCAAGCTTGAGACACTACAAATTTCATCCTCCCGGAGGCCTCTTCTAAAACCCAAATCCCAGCCAACTCCAACAGTAGAGTCAGAGGGAACCAAAAAATATGAAATGGGCTCCCCCCCTCCAGTTAGAAAGGGCAAAAAGGGAAGGAAATTGTTCCTTTAAAGGAGAGCTACCCAACCAAACACGTTCCCAGAATTTAACTAGGTTTCTAGAGCAAGGGTTATACCTGATGAATGGCAAGACGGAAGGATGGCATGAATGGATTTCCACAGAGAGGCTCTTGTAGCTCTGGCCAAGATTCCAGAATCCCACTCGTTTGCCACAAGCCCATGGATTCTAACAACCTTTGCCCACAATTTATCTCTTTCCAAAGGCAACCTCCACAGCCATTTCCCTAACAAGGCAGTGTTTCTTTCCTAAACATTCCCAAGACCTAAGCCACAATGTTTCTTACTTCTGCATACCACTTCCCATTTAACTAACTCTATGTTCCTTTTTCTCCTCCCCTAGTTCCCACAAAAAATCCCTCGTTAGCTTATCAACCCTTTTACTTACCCCTACTGGAATCCAAAACACAAATAGAAAGTACACCAACAAATTAGCTAATGTGGATCTAATTAAAGTAATTCTACCCCCCAGAGACAAACAGTCTTCTTCCAAGAAGCCAATCTTTTCGTAAATCTTTCAATCACAGGCCTCCAAAAATTACTCCCTCTCAAGCTCCCCCCCCCCCCCAAAGGGTAAACCCAAGTAATAAATTGGCAATTGTGAGACCAAACAACCCAGAATTTCTGCTCTCTAGAATCTCCCTCTTCCATATTTAAGCCCACAATGCAGCTCTTATCAAGATTAATCTTTAAATTGGACATTTGCTCAAAGGTTTTCACAACCCATTTTATATTTCTTACCCATCTAATGTCACCCTCTTCGCAAAAAAGTATTGTGACATCAGCAAATTGAAGGCAAGTGGTATCTCATTTCTTCCTATCCTCCAACCCCTAATAAAAGATCTGCCATCCGCTCTAGCAATCAACCTACCCAGAACATCTACTATCATAGTGAAGAGAAAGGGAGATAGTGGGTCTCCTTGTCTAAGCCCTCTTAGCACAAGAAAGTGGTCCACTACTGCTCCATTGACCAAAATTGAATAATGGCAAGTCCTAACACACCCTAAGATCCATTTACACCATCTATCCCCGAACCCACAATTCTTCATAAGCTCCAATAGGAATCCCTAGTCCACCAAATCATAGGCCTTTTCCAGATCCAATTTACAAACTCACTCTTTCCTTCCAACTCCTTTCATCTCCTCTACACTCTCATTTGCAATTAAAAGTTGATCAATAATTTGCCTATTTTGAACAAAAGCCCCTTGTTCTTGAGAAATTATAATTGGAAGGACCTCTCTCACTCTCAAAGAAAGCACCTTAGCAATGATCTTGTACAAATTATTAATCAAGTTGATTGGTCTAACCTCTTTCGAGTGCACAGCATCATTCTTTTTAGGTATCAACGCAATGAATGTAGAATTAAGCCTCGGATTGATCACTCCCCTCTCAAAAAATTCAAGAAACACCTTTTGAATATCAGCTTTCAAAATTTCCCAACAATCCTAGTAAAAAGCCATTGTAAAACCATCAAGACCAGGAGCTTTAGATCTATCCATAAAGAATATTGCAGCTTTTATCTCCTCCATATCAAAACATCTTTCCAACCAATTTTTATGCTCCTTAGAAATAGTAGGCCATTCCAAGCCATCAAGCCAGATTCTCCCTTCTAATGGCTTTCTAAAAATTGATTTGAAATGGCCCTCAAAAGCTCTGGCAATATCAAAATGTTGAGTGATTTACCATTCACCTCCAATTTTGATATAAAGCTTTTCCTTCTCCCATTTTCCAGTGCATGAAAGAATTTAGTGTTCCTATCCCCCTCTTGTAACCATTTGTTCCTAGCATTCTATCTCCGGCTAATCTCTTCCTTGAGCAAGATATCCTCTAGTTGCTTCCTCAATGCCCATCTCTCAACCTTATCTCCTTCCCCGAAAGAGCCCAAACCTTCTTTTGCACCCAAGTCATCAATTTTATTGATCAATTCTTGCTTCTTTTCTTCCAGTCTTCCAAAATGTTCGATATTCCACTCTTCAGTCTTGGTTTTTAATTCCTTCAACTTCTAGTGGAATTTCATGCCTTCCCAATTCACCCTTGGGTTACTTCCCTCCCACCACTCCTTGACCCTCTCAATAAAACCATTAGAACTTGACCACATATTATCAAATCTGAAAGGAGCAAGACCTCTACCTCTCACATCAGCCTTAAATAAGGAAATCGGCCAGTGATCCGACGTTACTCTTGGACGAGCTCTAGACATATTCCTCCAAATCCATTGTGAATAAGAATCTATCTAATTTGGTACAATTGGACCAAGTGAAATTACTATGAGAAAGAGTCGGTTCCTTAAGCTTTGACGTATCAATAAACTGATTGAAATTCCTCATACTCCGATTAATCCTCTGACTAGGGTTGTTTGTCTCATCTGTGAATCTAATGACAATGAAATCACCTCCCAGACACCAAGGTCCATCCCACAGACCCCTATATCCATTGGGACCGTAAACATTAGTCATCACCCATTCGAAGCCATCTATCACCTGCCTGAATTTGATTGAGATTATAAATTTACCCATTCCTCCACTCCAATTAGGGTCTCAATTCCAAATTGTCACTACTCCACTAGAAGCCCCCCATGAAGGTAAAACTCCCTAATTTAGTCCCCTTGCTCTCCAAATACTTCTGATCCATCTTATATCAACTTCAACAGCCTTAGACTCTTGGATTAACACAATATTTGGGTTCTCTCTTCTAAATACTTCCTTGATCATGGATCCTTTCCTAGTCCTTCCCAAACCTCTAACATTCCATTTAATTATCTTCACTTTTCCGACCATACTTATCCCTTCTTTCAAATCCTTCTATTTGTTCCCTCTGACCCTCCCCCTTCTCTCACTGAATTCCTTATCCCCCTCTACATCCCTTCTCAGCCTTTCTACTTCACTCGATTTCCTCTTCTTGACCTTTCTTTCCTCATTCTTTTTCTTTGGGTATTCGTTCTTTCCTCCTTATTCTTCTTTAGGTAAATTTTGAGATCATTCAGATTTTGAAACTTGCACCCCAATTTTTCCACAAATTCAGCCACTTAGTCGCTAGTCTCAAGAACTTCTTCTCTCACCCCTACTCCCTCCAAGTTACCCCCAAAATCTTGCAACACCGGTATTAGAGTCGGTCCTATTCTCCCTAACCTCCTCATTAACATCCTCCTCCGGTTCATTTCTTTTGAGGTCTTCAAGCAAACCTTCAATCATAACCCTCTTCCTCTTTTTGGCTCTCACCCCCAGCTTCTCTAACCGCCTGTACCCTATCAGCAGCTTGCAGCAATGTGGTTTCCTTAGAACCTGGAACATGAGCCACAAACACTGAACAACAATAAGTAGACAAAACTGAATTCACAATTTTACCTGGTTCCAAACGGGGAGAAAGCGCAGGAAGTTTTTCCTGCTCAGGGTTAGGGATCAGCATTATTCAACCTGATGGGTTTTAACTTGGGAAGCTTCTATTAAAAAATTAGCCTGCTGACTTCTTACTCTGGCCTGTTGTTCCACCATAACTAGGCTCTCTCTACTCGGCACCAAATGAACCTACACTATTTCATTACGAACCCCCTGCCTAGAAGCAATACTTGGTTCCGGTTTCTCAAAGTCTGAGCTTCGAAGAACTACCCCAACAGCCCCCTTGTTCTCCGCCACATTGACACCTCTAATGAGTGTTACTGGGCTCAAAGAGGAAGCTTCCTTCGATCCCAACTCATCCTCCCCAAATAGAATGTCTGTATTTAGGCCGCTCTCCTGTTTCTCACACGGTTAATGATCCTCCCCTTCATGTTTGTCAGCTGATTCGTCCTCTGCAACAGAATCTTCTTCATCTGAATGTATATAAGTTTCCCACCCCTTATCATCATCTTCAATGTCCTCCGATCTCGATCTTGAGTATCTACGGTTGAGGCAATCTGAAAGTGGCCACTTTGCATAAAAAGTGCCAAAGGTTAGGACCGTATCCACTCCAGATAGTTGAGACCAACATTATGTAATGCCCTTTTTACTTCTACTTTATCCATCTATTATACCATCAAGCCATTGGACCAACTACCACTATGTTACAGAGAGAGGGGCTCTGAGGCAATAAAACCCGATCAGTAGCTGGCCCAACTACATATTCAGATATTTAGTCTGTTGGGATGCCACAAAAAATTAAAAGAGATCATTGTAGTTGTCCTATATATACTGAGTTCACCATCTAAAATGGATGTGCTCCAATGTAAAATAAATCCATTCAGGTGAACAGTAAAGAAAATGCAAGTTCAAATGCTATGTGAAACTAAAATGCTATTATTTCATCTTATATAGCCTCTAAACAGTTTACAAGGGTTTCGAGAGTTAAAAGAACCTAAAATTTAAACAAAGCCATATAGGGAGGTACTTTGTCCTAAAGAATATGTCCTCTTCAGAGCTCATGTCAGTCATGTCTGCAGGGACAAAAGAGGGTGTCATGTTCATGTAAACCATGTATTTTTTCAAATGACACAAGAACTTTGTGCATTATTGGCACCATTGCCAGACTGAAATTCATAGCATATATAAGTTCAGGATGAGTATTAACCACATTGTAATACTTTTCATAAACAGAACAAGCAGTTAATATAGGTGTAGATGGACCATATACAATAGAAACAAGCTTCCAGTATCTACCTTGTTTGCCCACATGAGACCGCATGCATTGCAAAGGGTCCTTGGACCTTCAGGTCCACGACGCATCATTGGAGTAGACTTCTCACTAATGCCACAATGACGGCAGCTGAAAAATTTTTCAATGAGAATGTCAGTGGGAAAAAAAATCAAAGCATGGCATACAATGAAGTATACAGTCTAAATGAAAGCATCTTCATCATGCTACAAATGAATAGTGCAGCATAAATATGGACATTGCTCAAAGACAAGAAGTATTATGTGGGCCATCCTTCACAATCCATGTTCCAAATGGAAAAGACTATCCCAAAGTTCTCTAAGTGATTAAGTGTGCCATTCTTGGCTATCTATGTAACACCAAGACAGATCCTTCTACATTGTCTTCCAAATATTCAATGGCAGTACACTATGGAAATGGACATCATGCTCCCCTCTAGGCAGAAACATTACTAGCCTCTAATCATCATCACCATCCATGCCTATCCCAACTATATGGGGTCAGCTATATTGTCCTATTTTACTGATCCGTTCTATTTAAAGCCATACCCACTGTTAAGTTATTAGTGCTTAAATCATTTTCTCACTGCTTCTACCTGTCTTTTTTCATCTACCCCAAGCTCTTCTAGCCCCTTAAATGTGTAACAAATCACTTCTTCTAACTGGCGCAGTTGGTAGTCTTCTATGCACGTACCCAAACCATCTTAGTCTACTCTCTCTCTCTCATTTTATTGCTTATTGGAGCAACTCAGGTTCCTACAAATAACTTCATTTCTAATCCTATCCTTTCTAGTTTTTCCACTCATCCATCTTAGCATTCACATTTCTGCCACGACCATTTTCTGGACATGTTTCTTAACTGCCCAACATTAAATGGCACAAAACTTTGTGCAGGTACGGCTTATTTGTGCTTATTAGTTGTACAACGGCTTCAGCAATTAGCAATACTTTCTAATTTTTACTACAAAAATCTATATCTGCACAACAGAATGAAGCATGCCTAAAATGAAATGTTACTATTTCTGTAGAATAGAATGAAGCAAGTCTGGAAATTTGCAATTCTAATGGAGACTTCGAAGTGAAGAGTGTAGTCAATGTATTGATCAAAAAAAAAAGTGTATTCAATGTATTTTATTTTGATCATCTATTTCTGCACAAGTAGGTATTTTGGATGTCTATTGCCTATTAAGCCACCAATTAGGCAGCAAGCACACGTCCATGAAATACATCTATTTCTGCACAAGTAGGTATTTTGGAGGTCTATTGCCTAATAAGCCACCAATTAGGTAGCAAGCACACGCCTTTTGAAAAAGGCTGTGCCAAGGCTGTACCTAGGCCTAGGCAAGGCACATGCCTTGAAATGTGCCCTTTAAATCACTACGACAATGGTTGGAAAAGTAATTAGTTCACGAGACAAGAATCTGACTAACTACCTAGAGTGTGGTATTAACAAGAAAGACTATGGAATTACTAGATACAATAAAGAGAAGGATTAATATACATGTTTACAAGAAACTAACTGAAAGGGTGGAAACCGAAGAAATCGATGACCATGCACAATGGTACACCGAAGAAGTAAATAACAAATATGGAGTCAATAACAAAAGATAAAGATCTAAAAAATGAAATAAATGTTGAAAAGTTAAGACAGAATGATTTTAATTAGACTTGTTTAAGGTGAGGAAGCTAACATAAGTAGTGTTAATGCACCTAATTTGTTAAAAAAATGTTAAAAAGACAATTATAGAAAACATAGATGGACTCATTCAAGAAATTCCAAATGAGCAGAAGATTTTTAATGCAAGACATCCAAACAACCATGTGATGAAAGGATATACAAGACACAATAGTATGCACGGAGGATTTAGGTTTAGGGTACGAATGAAACAGGATATACAATTTACAATTTGCAACATCTTATGATATGGAAATAGCAAATACATACTTCAATAAGAAGGAAGATCAATAACATTTAAAGGAACTAAATTCAAGTCAAATAGATTTTTTTCTCACTTTTTTATTGGTAAATAAATTATTTCCTTGCTAGGAGAACAGAATGAATGATGTGTGAGGACTACAAAGTTGTTCCAAGGACAGCTTGACCACACAACAAAGATAAATGGTGGTAGATGTGCACATTAAAAGATGAAAGAAATAGAGAAAATAAAATAGCTGTCCAAGAATTAAGTGAGAAAATCTAAACAAAGAATAACATAAAAAATGATGATTTAGATATAGAATAACAAAAAACGAAGAATTAAGTGATAAAATAGGTATCCTAGAATTAAAGACAAGATAATAGAAAGAAAATGGAATTTAGATATAGAGTTTAACTACATGTGGATTGAAATATTAGCTGTATAAAATAGCAAAAGAGGTTTTAGAAATAGACAAAAGAAATGGCAAGGCACTAAAGAAACCTGGTGGTGGAATGAACAAGTTCAAAACATTATTACAAAGTGGAGGAAAGTGGTTGGAACTTCAACATAAAAAAAAATTATGATTCAAAGAAGATGGTTACAATCGGAGAGGGGCCCTCAAGAGTGGGAGGGGTATTTAGACATGAAGTCATGTAATTTCAATGTTCTCGAGCCCAATTACGGTGGGAGATTCATTTAAAGTTGAGCTTGTGCAGTGACATGAATTTAAGTAATTTTTTTATGTGTAAATAAATTACTCAATGATGGAGATTTGAAAGTAATGATAAAGTGGTTGCTGAATAGTGAGAGTTTTGTGGGACTCTGGAAACAAAATCATTAAGTTTAGATGGTTGACCAGATATATGCAAGTGAAAATCCAGTGGATACCAAATTCAGCTAATTGCATGGATGGTGCATATTAGCTAAGCAAGAGGTGGCAAGAAATCAGTTTTTTAGAATCAATTGTAAAGTAAATTGTAAGGCTGCAAGCTGGGCTGGGTTAGCCCAAACAAAATGGTCCCAACCCAAACCAGCTGGGTTAGTAGGGTCAGGTTGAATCTCAGGTTAGAGTAAGGGTTGAATAGTATGAACCCAACTTAACTTCAGGTTGGGTTAGGGTTAGGGTTGAATCCTTGACCGACCCAACCCGAACCCGACTTAACTTCATATTTGTATGTACAAAGATAGTGTACTCATATATTCATGTAATAAGATGAAAATTCTATAAAATAGTTGTAAGGCCGGCTATGTTGTATGGAACAGAGTGTTGGGCAATCAAGAAACATGTCCAGAAAATGAATGTCACAGAAATGTGAATGCAAAGATGGATAAGTGGAAAAACTAGAAAGGCTAGGATTGAGAATGAAGTTATCCATAGGAACCTGAGTAGCTCCAATTGGTGATAAAATGAAAGAGAGTAGATGAAGATGGTTTGGGCATGTGCATAGAACACCAACTGAACCAGTTAGAATAAGTGATTTGTTACACATTGAAGGGGCTAGAAGAGCTCGGGGTAGACCAATAAGGACATAGGTAGTAAGAAATGATTTAAGCACTAAAAATTTAACAATGGATATGGCTTTAAATATAACAGATTGGCGAAACATGATTCATGTAGCCAACCCCATATAGTAGTGAATTGTGACAAGGCATGGATGATGATGATGATGATTAATTAAAAATATAAACTTAAAATTTAAAATAAATGTTTTAAGAAAGCATATTGTCTCATATTAAAATACATAAACATAACATGTAAAACATATTTAAAATGAAAGCTTAAAATAAAACCAATTATCAAAAAAAAAATTTAAATAAAACCAATTATCAAAAGAAGAAAATTTAAAATAAAACCAAGCATAACATATAAAACAAATATTCAAACATGTAAACTCTTAATCTCTGTTTTTTGATAGATTTAATCTTTCTTTATTTTTTTCCCAATTGCATTATTTCAAATAGCTAATGTGATGTTAAACATTATGCATTCCTGATTCTACGAGACGCCGCCTTTGTACCAATCCCCTCGACACAAGCCCAAACAAGTCTATATCAAGGTGTTAAATTCTTAATCCCTACAAAAAAAAAAAATATGGTTTCATAACTTTCTTTTAAAAATATCTTTTATTAGGATGAATGAATGAGTTTCCATTATAACTGGTTAGACCCCATTATAAATTCCAAATAAAGTAAGAGTTCTCTATTTATTCACCAGCAAAGAACAATTATCAAGATCTAATACCCCCTTCCCAATCCTCCCCCCATCCTTTTACAAAACCTTAATAGAAGTTGGGTATTCCATACCCCTGCCCTCACATAATAAAATTATGTTGTTTGCAAATTATAGATTTTTTATCAACCTAGTTTTTGCTTTAGGCACAAAAACTTAATTTACAGCTTCTAAATTGGCTCAAGCTCAAATTCCAGAGTGAACTCATGATGTGCTTCCTCAAGAACCTCTTAATGCTACAATTTGCATACATGTATCTTGCATCTTAACTTCTTCAGCTTGCTTCACCATGTATCTTGAATATTATCCTTATTCTGGTCAAGAGTATGGGAGGAAAGGGAATGCAAGAATTTTCAGCGAGAAGTATAGGTCAAAAGAAGAACTAATGGGGCCATAAAGATAAGAATTGCACACTGGGTGAAAATAATTGAGCTCTTTCAAAGTTTCTCGGTTACTGAGATAGTAAGAGCTTGGAATGAATTGCGACACTCTTCTGAGAAAAAAGAAAGGAAGGTGATGGAGTGGAAGCCCCCAGGTCTCTCAACAATGTCAAGCTGAATTTTGATGGGAGCTCTATAGGAAACTCAGGTCTGGCAAGAATCGTTGGTGTGATCAGAGATTCCTCAAGCAAAGTATTGGCTATGTACTCAGGACCTTTAGGGAAGGCAATTCTTTAAATGCTGAACTATTAACTCTGCTACAGGGGTTAAAACTTGCCAAACAAGTAGATCTTAAGACCTTGGAGATAGAAGAGGACTCAAAAATATCGATATCATGGACCAATTCAAGGGGTAATGCTCCTTGGATTTTTAGACATCCCCTAAGGGAGATAGTAAGCCTATCAAGGGAACTCAATACCTTGTTCGTATGGATCAGGAGAGCTGCAAATGAGATGGTTGATAAGTCACCATCTGGTGTCTTTTTAAATTGCTTCAAATCTGTTCCCACCTCAAGGGCCAATGAAAAAGAATATTTAGATGATAAATTCTAAATGTCTCCAATTCCCTCCTAATGTCTATTTAGGCCATTCTAAAAATTAATCAATCTTTGTATGTCATCTTCAACCGTATATCACAACAAATGGCAAACCCTTTAAATATTTTCATATAATCTACCACACAGATATTAATTATCTCATAGATCAGGTAAGAAATTAGTCGATGGATATTTTCCTATAATTTGCTTTTCATCTGCTCCCATGTAATAGAATTTCCCTCTCTCGTGCATCTAAGACAATCTTCCATGCATATCTTCCAAGATTTAGCATTCCCTACCAAATTTGGTATGCACAATTCTAACTCTCCAATCACCAAGCATGTTGTTCCAATCAAATATCCTTCAAAATCTATTAATCAATCCAAGAATAACAGCAGGATTCTATCACACTTCAAATCTAGTGTCTCCTTCCTACAAATCTTGATAAAACTATTCATGTAGGCAACATTATAAGATCTAAATTCTTCTACCAACCATGGTCCCTTTATATGGTGTATAAAATATAATGCTGTTAATTCTGTACCTATATAATTATTACTATTAAAACCATAGCATGCAATTAGATAGAACATAGAAATTGCAACAAAGCATTAGCACCAATACCAAATAATGTAGAATTAACTATTTCAATACCAAATAAGATAGGATTTGTATGATTTAATTTATAAAGGTGATTGTAAGAGGGTAACAATTGACCAAGAAGGATTTAGGGATAATCATACAAAGGTAAAGATTGATAGGGGTCAGAAAGGTGTTGGATCAATTTGCTAAGAATTCTACATCAAGCATAATAGCCAGGGCAGCTAGGGCTTACACCAAGGATAAGGGACTTAACCTGGGCCCAAGTCTGGGCCAGCCTGCACCTAAACTTTCCACACATATGAATTATAACATACAAATATGCATAAAATTCCAGGCTAAGCGAGGCATATAAGTATTAGGCCCAGGCCTGACCGACAAATTTCTGGGCCTGGACACGGTAGGACCAGATCATTAATTCTATTTGGGATTATGAAAAATATAAAATTCAAAAACCAGATGGGGATTGATTTTTTTTTTTTTTTGAGTTGTGTGTGAAACTCTGTGATGTTTAGGATGAGGGATAGTATGGGACAATTAACTCGAGGCATATTTTCCAGATAAGGCTGAAAATTTCCTTTTGTCAGAAACTGCCAAAAATACAAAAAATAAATAAATAAGGCTTTAAATGGACTTTTAAGGGTGGTAGGATGAAAGGTAATGGAGGTCAACCTAATACTGGAGCATTTAGAGGTAGTTTGGCAATAAAAGAAAAATAATGGCTAAAATAAGAAAATTTAAATTTTGATCATAACTTAAAGGCATATCTAGATCCATTTCAGTATGTCAAGGATGTTGAATGATGACCTGAGTTGAAAAAAATGTGATTAGTTGATGGTTTATGAGAATCAATCACCTTAAGCACAATATGCAAAAAAAGGAAAGGAGAGGGGGGAGAGAGAGAGAGAGAGTTAATTATCATTCACATGTTTTACTCAAAAAACATGTTTATAGACACTTTAAGGGTGGCTGATCATACTAATAATACTAGAATTGAGAAAAGTAGAAAATACAGAATTGCCACTATCATACTACTAATAAAAAAAAAATCAATATCCTTGACTAGTCTAGGTTAACAACTTAAATTTTAAAAACAATTAAGGGCCTATTCGTTTGCTATAAAGTCTGACATGTGAAAGTGCAATAATTACATTAAGAGGTATATCGGCATTGGTGAACTTTTCGTTCCTCTGAACTCTGAATGCAGAGAATGTTGCTTTTTTTTTTTGGAAAAGGTAATGTAAATTTATTCAGCACAGAGAAACAAAAGCAAACTGCAATTCAGACCCAAGAAGGCAGTCTGAAAAGCAGCCAGGATTACAATCTCCACCAGGATCAAGACTGAAACAAAACGGGCAAGCTAAGATCTCTGAATTCCTCAGAAATGGAAATCCAAGAAATCAGCTTACCCACAGCTCTCTGAATTACATCATCAAGACCCCTAACCTATTACAGAATATTCACTATTCCTTTCAGCCAAAATGGACCACAGAACAGCAGTTGGGATTGCCTTCCACATTAGCTTCCCTCTCTTACTTAGACCCTTCAATTTCCAGCTACAAAGGTGTTCCTTAACTGATCTCGGCATGACCCACTTAGCACCCAAAGCATTCAGAAAATGCATCCAAATCTGAAAGGAGAATGGACAATGAAGACATATATGCTCTGTAGTTTCTGCAGCGGTCCCACAAAGAACACAATTTTAATCCAGAGATGTCCCTTCTCAACAGATTAGACCTGGAAAGACATTTGTCAAGGGCCATCGTCCAAACCAGAAAATTAGATTTTGAGGGGCTCATAGAATTCCAAATCTGAGTAGCTGGGAACTCAGAAAGCCCCACACTACATAATTTATCAACCATGGACTTCACAAAACAGGCAGAGAATGTTGTTCTGAATTCTGAATTCTGAAAATTATCATATATCCATTTTGACCCATATATGAGAGTTTTTGTTTATCTTTTTTGGGGTATCATTGGAAAACAAAAAGTTGTGTGATTGCACTTTAAGAGATAAGAGATAAGAGGAAACAAACAACCATTTTTCTCTTAAAGTTAAAAGATTCCTCTTAAGAGATAAGAGTTAAGAGGAAACAAACAGGCCCTAAGTATGGCTAGACAAATCAAAATATTAGACCAGACCCACACAAACATGGGAAATGACCAAAAGAGTCCTACCGAGTAAAAATACAAAAAATAGATAGAAAATTCCAGTTTTGAGTCTTTTAACTTCTTTGTTCCTTCTTTGAACTCTCTCGAGCCCTTTCTGTATTGGAAGTTTAGAAGTCATTTAATCAGAACTTCTTTGGCGGCCTACAGCCTACCCTAAATTCAGACAGTCTAACATAGAATATGGTGACCATTGGATTTATTTTAAGTTGGAATATGTTCTCATTTATATGAGACTAATGTAGTTTCTTGATGCTTCAAAAGCTATTCTCTTACCTACAAGACTCTCTTAAGTGTTTCATTTATTCTTGATCTACCATTTTCTACTTACTCATTTGATATAACCAAAACAGCTAATGTGCACAGTGAATGCCGTTTTTTACTATAAAATGCTATTTAGGCCCAGTTTGGAAAGAGTACAAATATGTACAAATACAAATATGTAAAGATACACTATAAAATGTGTTTTTGCACTATACATATTTGTATTTGTACTCTTTCCAAACCGGGTCTAAATAACATTTTATAGTAAAAAATGGCATTCACTGTGCACATTAGCTGTTTTGGTTGCATCAAATGAGTAGGTAGAAAATGGTAGATCAAGAATCAATGAAACACTTAAGAGAGTCTTGTAGGTAAGAGAATAGCTTTTGAAGAATCAAGAAACTACATTAGTCTCATATACAAATTTGTAGAGTACAAAACCTTTTATTTTGTATGCATTTGCACTGTACATATTTGTATTTGTACTCTTTCCAAACCGGGCCTAAGTAACAAATATAAACTTTTAAAACTTTTTTATAGGAAAATAAAGCAGATATGTGTGTATATATATGGCTATTTTAATGGTACTCCTTTTTTATCAGTATTTTAATGGTACTCTTCTATAGATATGTCTGCAATTTCATGTGTTCTTGTCTTGCCAAGTCACAAACCCAGACATGCATTCAAGTCTGATTCCTATTTTCATGTTTATGAAACATGGTTCTTTGTTCATTCTCCCATTGTTCTCTAGTTGTGAGGGAATTTCTTATTAATTTTGGGCATGGCAGTGGAATTTCTTGATGTTCCCACTTCCAAGTAGCAACTGGAAATAGGAATGCAACTTGCACAAGCTTGAGTTGAGCATTTCTTATATTTTGAAGGGGCCCAGCACAAAGGTTTGGGCTCAATGCAGTGGAAATTCCCCAAATCAGGAGACAAACATGTAACGTTAGTGTATCTTTATGGTGTTTAAGAAACTAAACATCAAGCAGGAGTTAAGAGCTTGGGAAACAAACTGCTGGAAGGTTGTCTGACCAATTACAGAATTTCATGAACAGATTTCAGAAGTGCAGCATGTTCTTCAATGCTCCCCAATGTCTTAAAAACCATAATTAGGAATTATTCTATTGTAAATATAGTTATAAAATAGAGATCGTTATATATATATATATATATATATAGAGAGAGAGAGAGAGAGAGAGAGAGAAAGAGAGATCAAGTGTGTTGTTATGTCATTTTGAATAATATGTTTGGGTGGAGAAGAGAGGAGGGAGAAGGGATGAGATAAAGGGATATAAAGAAAGAGTGGGACTAAGATAAGTGTACATAGTTCTTCATTGTTATTGACCAAAAATGAAACAAAAAAAAGAATGCACGTAGAGTCCATTGGATCCCTGGGGGCAGGGGAAATGTTGAAAATGGGGGTTCTGTGCTTGTTCTAAGTCACTTCTTTACATGGTCTACTCAACACTGGACATGGCCCAACAATATGATCATAAATGTAAGTACTAAGTACAGATCACAAAGTGTATTTAACACAAATCCAAGAGTAGTGTAATCTTGTACCAAGAGGGCCAATAGAGGATAAATTCCAATTAATATTCAATGATGAAATACAATTAAGTGAGAAACAGAAATAAGATAGAGTAAAACCAGTGAAGTTCCAACTTCATTTGCATCCACAAAAAAACAGAAGCATATTTTTTTCTTACTTATTGCACAAAATAAAATCATAGCAAGTTGTCCTCTTCAGAAATAGAAGCATGTATACTTACGCAGTCTCTTTTTGCTGGGCTCCATTACTCTCTGTACTCAAGTGTTGATTAGGATCTGAACTTGTTATTGGTGGCACATAATCATAATTAGTAGATTTTGAAGATGTGAACTGGCCCTTGTTTCGTTGCATTCTATAACATGAAATACAAGAACAGTTACTGACAAATGAAGGCCAGAAAACTGTATTTCTGCACTAAACAGTGCATCTGGCATACCTGCTTCCAATGCTTAAACATTGGCAGAAATTTTAGAATGCATCCTACAGCTTCAAACTATTTACTTCAGAAGATTTAACAAAATGTCTACTCTTTCAGGTTTAATACAAAATGAAATTATTACAACTATTTCAGGAGTTAAATTAAATTTTGGCCCATTTGTTCTTGAAATTATGGGGAAACGTTTAAGGGGTTCTATGTAATTGTAAAAGCTTTTTTTTATCAGAAATGGTAACTTTCATTAATAAAACAGTTAGATACTATAGTGTCAACCACTCATAGCATTAGTGTTGGCCCCATATAAAACTCAAATTTTACAATACAGCCCAAAACAAGTTTTCCCTGTGAGTCCCCTGCTTTGCCAAGTTACCAGCCACAGAATTGGCTGATCTCCTTACCCATTTGAAGATCACTCCCACTTCTCTTGCTAGGCAATGTATTTCTCTCATCTGTTGTCTAAGTGTCCATGCACCCAAGTTTTTTGCCTGCAGCCATCCTATTAGAAGCTTAGAATCTCCCTCTACCTCAAGGTTTTGATATCCACAATGCTTGGCCAATCTCATACCTTGAAGTAGAGACATAACTTCAGCCCTTAAGGAGTCTCCCACACCTATTCGGCCAGAATAAAGTGCTTGCATTCTGCCCTCCCCAATCCCTGAAAACTCCCCCAACCAGAGAGCCCCGGGTTTCCCAAAGAGCTTCCATCGAAATTCAATTTTACTCTTTGTTGTGCTGCAGGTGTCCAAAGGGGCTGAACCACATTTTGTGCAGCTGAAGAGTTGGCCGCTACTGACCAACCTCTCAGAATATATAATTGTGAAAACTTTCCAAAACAAATGAACTTTTTGAATTTTCAAATATGGAATGAAATTATAGTTTGGAATTTCAACGGATATCCTCACATGTGCATGCTCTGTAAGGCTTGTGGAGAATCCATTTCCCACTTATTAATCTCCTGTCCTTTTGTGTCCTGTATTTGGGAATATTTTTGTTCTCTATTTGGTTGTAGATGGGCCTCTCCACAAGTAGTAAGCTTATTCAACCCCAATTTCCTAGGCTCAAGGAAAAAAGAGAAAAGATCATATGGAGGACTGTGAGAGCTGATGTTCTGTGGACAATTTGGGAAGAAAGAAACAATAGAATTTTTAATGAAAAGAGCAAAGGAGGAACTGTTGGAAGCTATCATGCTCTGAGCTGCACACTGGATAAAAACTTTGGAGACTTTCAGAATCTTTTCAACCATTGATATTATCAGAGCCTGGCCTGAAGTCGCACAAACTGGAACCCACCCTAAAGAGGTAAGACAGGATTGGAGACCACCGACTGAAAGTAGGCTGAAACTGAACTTCAATAGTAACTCCTTGGGTAACCGGGGAAGAGCTGGTATTGGGGGAGTGATTAGAAACCACCAAGGCCTAGTGGTTGTGTTGTATTCTGGTCCAGCAAGTTTGGGAGATTCAATCATGGCAGAAACTTTGGCACTGCTACAAGGGTTGAGATTAGCACAACAGCATGGCCTCAGAAATGTGGATGTTGAAGGTGATCCACAGTTAGTAATTCATTGGGCAAAGCACCTCAAAGAAGCACCATGGAAATGCAGACATAGAGAGATTGATATGATTGCAAAAAACTTGAATACAAGCTTCAGCTGGGTGAGAAGGACTGTAAACGGGGTAGCAGATACATTGGCTAAACAGGGAGTAAATAGGCAAAGTATTTTCTGGGCATACTTGTAATTGGGTATTGAGGGGTTTTGGATGAGTTCGGCTTCAGTCAGGGCAAAGCCCATTCGGGCATCTTTTACTGCCTTGCATTGAGAATATCTCTGTACTTGTGTGCTTTATTTCATAGGGAGATATTCCCAATGTAAGGTTACAGAAGGCTGTTAGAATGGTGTGGGCACAGATTTGCCCTGATAGAAGCCGATCTCGTTTTGGATTTTGCCAACAGATGCATTAAGTTTAAATCTTTAATTATTATAATGAAATCCTTTTGCTGATCAAAAAAAAAAAAATCAACGGATATCCTAGTCTGCTTACTTTGTAAATTTGGGCAAAATCTTCATATGATTTTACATCTAAACAAAAATGGTATGTAATACATATTTGAATAGAATAAATGAAAAGTGGACAAGAACCCCATGTATTTTATTTGGATATATAACAGAAATTACAATTACAAGAATTTCCATTCTTGAAAGAAAACTCTTGAGTTTAGCCCAAATTGTTTAGAAATTCAATTTGTTCAATCTTTGGAAGTTGTCATGCTTAGTAATCTAACTCATCCAACATAGTTGTCAAGACAACACCTAGGCAACAAGGCACTCATGGAGGATCGCCAAGCTAATTCGTACATGGCATTATGAAATACTTTTTATATTCTTATTTTTTTGAGAATATAATAATAAACTAGACATTAATAAACTAAAATATTCAATTAGTGGGTTTATATGCTAATTTCCTTTTATTATTTTCTCATTTGTTAGAGCTCAATCAACACACATGTTGGTATATGCTGTCTTGAAACTTGAACCCTCAAAGACTTAAAAACCTGAACCAACAACCTAAGAAGAACTTAAATTCTGTCCAATAAATACATTCTTCTTCTTTTCCTAGGACAAAAACAGGGGCTTAGCCTGTATATTATTTAAATTTTCTTTTCCTTCTTTTACTTCTCATGAATATGTTGATTTTCTATATTTGAATATGACATTTATAATTTTTTATAAAAATTATAGATAATTATTAATGAATAATGGTTTCTGTTTGTACAGAACCTAGGGAACTATCCAAGGATTCATGTTTTTTCATTTAAAAAATTCCATCCTCTTGGTGACTAGGCATCAAGGGAGTTCCCTTGTCACCTAGCCTCACCTTGGTGTCTTGAAAACTATGTCATTCAATGTGTAATCTGCAGTGAAAGAGTAACTACACATAAATTCAGGTGGTTTTGTCATTTGTGCAATCCACCAACCTCATACCAGAATATTACATTGTTTCTACTCAATTGAGGAGAAAATACATTGCAAGTACAAAGCAACTATGACAACTTTGAGCCTTTGGCATACTTCCTTTTTCTATGACAACAAAGCCAAATGACATACAAAGAAGAGGGAATCAAGGAGGAAATCAAAGAAATAATTATCATGCATCATATACCTGAGGGCAACCTCCTTTCGAACGGTATAACGTATTTTCTTATCAAAATTACGCTCCTTTCGCTTCTCACGGAATCTAATCAATGAAGCTAATCTCTGGGGAACATTCAACCGCTGTGGAACATCAGACAACCCCTGGTTGAATGTTTCAGTAAACAAGGGTGGAAGAGATGAATAAAACACAGAAAACCACTGCTTATTCAAATCAAGATAGCAGAAAAAGAGATGTAAAATGATACCCTATTATTATGATGGGTTGTTATTGGAAGTGGAGGCACACTAGCAGGAACTTCACGACCTCCCAGTAATAAAAGCACAGCCTGTACCTGCATTTTTTGGATAATGTATTATCAACACGTGATTTTGAATTTCTTTAATGCATTTAATATAAAAGAAAAAGAACAACCCACACAGGATCAAACCATCTAAAATACAATACAGGTTCCCGAAGTCCAATTTATAAGGGCATTAATATTTACAAGAAATAAAACAAAACAAATGAGACATGAATTCTATATGGTAACCAGTACATTACAGTACCATGATATTAATAATAATCCTAAATGGCATAATACCATGGTTTCTTCCATATGAAAGCCAAAAACTGCAAAATGGATATCATAAGCATGAATGGGATTTTACTCCCATGCATCAAAACGTGATCACAGTGACCAATCAACAAAAGAAAAAAAAAAGAAGAAGAAGAAGAAAATCATGCAATGCACTTGAAGCATTTGCCTCGAACATGTAAAAACAACTAAAATAAAAGATATAAGTGATCCATTTTAGCTATGGCGTTAGTTAGGATCTAATAACAGAATCAGAATTTTAAACCGTTACATCCATAAATTCTTTGATGATATAGTAGTGCTTTCCACCATCAGTTCGGTTTTTCACTTAAGAAACGAATACATGGAAGAAAAAGAAAATAAAGGGCTTGGGACAACTCACCTTTTCCGCAGATACGGAGTCGAAGACATAGACTTCTCCCTGGAAAGAGAGAGTCAGCTGGTTCCCTCCATGACTCCGAGGTGGCATTGAGCCATGAGGATCAGAGAGAGCGCCATGGTCAGATGGAACGTCCGCCTCCATGCCCTCGCTCCCTGCACCATCATCTTGATCATCTTCCATCCCACTCCCATTGCTGTTATGATGCAGAGCTTGTTCGTGCTCTTGCATGTAATGCATTTGCATATGTTGACCTTCTGCAACGTGAATCTGGGGAGCACTACCGTGGACGCTGTCGATCTGCCCAGGAATATGCATGACAGCTTGCATACGATTCAGATAACTCGAAGAGTAATAGCTACTTCAGAGACCGTATTGATGCAATATATGGCCTTGTGCTGCTTTGACGTTGAAACTTCAATTAAACCAAAACCAAACAAACGAAAATTAAAACAAAATAAGCGTAGAAAACGTCTTCAAAATTACCATTCGAGGTGAAAAATTTCGGGAATCAAACACCAAGTTCGCAATCTCGACGAAGGAATCCGAGTTCCTCCTGATCCATAACTGGAGAGTTAAAAACCCAAACTTGTTGGTCGAAAATCCGTTTGCACTTCGCAGAGCTCCGAGATCAAAACCAAAGCCCTAATTAAAAATAGTAATATTCCAGTACGGTGACGAATTTCCTGAAGAACTGAAATATTAGATTCTTCTAAGTCAGGGTGAAAGGATTCCGACGGAGAAATATTGTGGGCAACAGAAGATCGAATTTTTTACTGTGATCTTGATGATGATCTCCGTAGATGCTCCACAGAACCGATAAATTTGCCCAGCAGATTGAACATGCAGAGGTCCTTTGGAGATCTCCGCCTAGACTCCGACGGAGCAAAATGTCTCCGGCAACCGAATGATCGGACCTGTGCCTAGGGTTTTGAAGAGCGCTTGAGTTTACAGGGAGAGAGAGTAAAAAAGGATAGTGTTTTTTATCGTAAGAAGATCAGCATGCGAATTGCGAACTGCGAAGAGAAAATAAGAAAATGGTGGATGATAACCCATGAAGTTTTTTTTAATTACAAACTGCCCTTCATTAAAAGAGAGATGACCTGATGGCCATCGCCATCGGCATCGCCCATCGGCGGCCAACGGGCCAAGGCCCAAGGGCCAAAGCCCAAACTCAGTCCACGAATTGACAATTAAAAGCACGTGGTTTCACGTGAGGAAAGGCAAGATTTTCCTGGGTGCACATGTGGTGTAAGATATCTCTGTCCGTGTATTTTATGGATTCCGAAAGATTGAAATTTTGTGGCTTTCATTGTTTTTCCTACATTTTTTCTCATGGAAAATATGTATAAGTGATATCTGCGACGGATAAATAATTTTTTATTTGAATAAATAATTGACAAGATGTATTGAGACAATTTTACTCATTTTAATAATAATTTTTTTATAAATAAAATAATTATTATACAATTTATTTACATAAAAAACAAATACTGGTAAATTTTGATTATTTGTTTTTAAATAATATCTCAAATTATTATCAAATAAACAATATTTACCCAAATAAATGAATTTATCCGATTAGGTGACTTTCCAAAAATTGAATGAAATTAAGCGAAATCCGATCCACGCCTCATACAGAGCGTCTCATACTAACCTCACAGTCTATCTTAACCACACATTGGAGACATTTTCCATACTCGCATTTATTATTTATGAAAAAATGTTATCAATACTGGAATGTGACTGTGAGGTCGGTGTGATGCGCGCAGATTTCAATCCCACAAGCGATATACTTTGTTGAATTGAAATTCAAGGAAAATCAGTTGATGATAATCAAGGCCCAAGCCCAAAACTTGTGCAAGAATTGATAATTAAAAGCACGTGGGCTCCACGTGTGATAAAAGGGACATGGGATTCTCCTGGGTGTATATGTGATACAGGATAACATGATATTGTTCTTGTGGGTCCGACCAAGTGATCACACTTTGATGAATTGAAATTGAAGGAAAATCGGTTGATGGTGATCAACATCATAAAAGAGTCAAGTCGATACAAGGAACTGGTTACACCGCAACAAGGAAGCGTTGCGGGCCCACAGCAGATTTTGGAATCTGGTGTGGGTTTGACGGGATCACATCTGCTCAGACTAATCGGTAATTTAAGGAAGCCTTGCGGGCCCACAGCAGAGGATTGGATCCAGAACCGGTGTGCTTAGATCCGTATCCAACTCCGAATAGGAAACATTTCTTTCAGTAGCTCAAGTCAGGGTGGTCTCCTATCTGGGCTTGTTACGTACTGGTTGTCTTTTCAGCTCGATTCCCAAAAGAACATTGGAACATGTGTAATGTTCGGCCCAAGCCCAAAACAAATTTATATGGAGCTGCATAACGAGGCCCGTAGATTATAAATATGCTTAGGCTTATTGTAGCAAACTATCTACATTTTATGGGGAAATAATTTAATGGGCAAATTTTTTAAATTTTTTTAACAATTGACTAGAAATAGATCAGGGGAGAAATATAAAATGATTCACAGCTCCGATTGTGTTGGAAAAAATAAAGGAGAAGAAATCGGGAGATATGAAGAGCTTTCATTTAGGTTTTTCTCCTAGAGAACTGAATGGAAACGGAGACAAGAGTGATGGATAAAGGCGAAGAAGAGAGGAAAAAAGAGAGGATGGATATACCTCCATCCGAGTTCGATTCAATTAAAAATACCTAACATCCAAACTCAAATGGGAGAGCAACTATCGCCGCTGGTTTGACATGCAGCGGCAATGGTTGGAATGAGGTCGGTGGTGGTGAGGAGCAAGGACAAGAGAGAGAGAGACTGTCTTCTTCACCACCACCAGGTCCAAATGAAGAAGACAATGAACAATATATTTGTTAATGGAGAGAGAGAGAGAGAGAGAGAGAGAATGGGAGAGAGGGAGAGAGAAATGGGAGAGTGAGAAGAGGTTTGGAATGACAGTTTTTCTCTTAAGGGCAAAGAAGACATTTCATCTTTCCTATTATGGTTTAATGATAATAGCAATTGTTAGAAACAATAGGGGTATTCTAAGACAATAGTTAAATAATAATAAGGGTAGTGTTAGCCAATTAACCAAACAGGAAGGGTAGTTTAAGAAATTTGCCCTAAATCAAGTAGGATCCAAGCCCCTCATTTCCGTCTAATTACAATATTTCTGGTAAAGCATGTGTTAAATATAAGGCCTACTTAGTTTCAGCCCATCTCCATAAATCAGAAAAGCAAATACAAGCAAGAGAATTAGAGAGACCACTGGAAATGACCAACAACCCTTGACTAGCAACATGAGTTAATCAATCAATAGCTTGATTGGCTTCACAAAAGACATGCCGGTACTTCACTCCATAATCCAAGAATGTGCAAACCTAATGACACTCCTTGATCATAGTCTTCAATCTCCACAACAACTCCACCTCCTTATTTAAGCAATCAATGAAAAGCTTAGAATCACCCTCAATGGTTATTGGATGGTTCCTAAAGTTGAGAGCATAGTTATGGGCTTCCCAAGCAGCCCAACCCTCAGCTAGGTTAATTGTAGAAGTACCAACTAGATAGGCCTCAAGGTCAAGTATTTCACCGCAATGGTTCTAGCAATATAAGCTATATGACACAAACCATTCGACTGTTCGAGTCACAAGAATCATCAAAATTAATTTTGATACCACCCACTGATGACACGTCCAACGAAAGGGTGTCCAAAATTTTCTAGGGGAAGTAGAAGACTAATTGTTTAGGTTGATTTTTAAATCCATGAAAAGATTGAATGCACTCTCCAATAAGATAGGGGAAGGAATCAACTTTCTGCTAAAAATATTATCATTTCTGTTTTTACATAAAAACCAAAGAATTATGGCACTTTTTCAACATTTGAACACATTTTATTGTTACTTCTATAATCCCATACCTATCCCATACCTATCCCACCAATCCCACTAGGGTTGTTCACGAGTTGGATTGGGTTAGTTTATTGAGATTTTTTCAACTGACTCGACCTGATCAGGTTACCTGAAATTGAAACCAAAATCGACCCTGTGTTAAGCAAAACCGACCTGGTCGGTTTGAGTCGGGTTGGGTCGGTTTGGGTCGATTTCGGCTCTAAGTTCAACCATGGTAATAAATTGGTAGATTAGAGAAAGATGACTGAAATTTGATGTAAAAAAGGACACCTAATTCTATTAGAAAAAGGATAATGAAATTGATAGGGGGCGGACCAAGTTAGAATAGAAGTTATCAAGAAAATAGAAAGTCGAACTGTATTAGAGAAAGAAGACTGAAATTTGTATATTTCAAGAAACCTTCTAATCTAAGTAAAAAATGACACCTAATTCTAATTGTAATTAGTTGCCTATTTGGTGTAAAAGACCATAAAAACTATGATCCTTTGATTATTTTCTTTAAACTTTTTCAAAAAAATTCCTTGTCTAGTTGTCTTACAATACTTGCCATTAATGTCATTCCTAACTAGAAGAATAGAAATTAAGTTAGGTTGTAACTAGGATAGAGACAACTTAGTTAAGTAGGATTGATTCGGGTTGGGTCGGTCTGGATTGGTCGGTTTGATCGGGTTGGGTCTTCTTATGAGCAGCCCTAAATCCCACATTGAATTATCAGCATCACCAGGACAAATAATACTTTGCATATCACGATTGAATTATCAACACCACTGGGGCAAATAATCCCATTGTAAGGGATTTGTTAAATGAACTTTATGAAGAAAGATTATCTTGACAATACAAAGCTTTGCAAGTTCAAATAAAAAATATTATTTTATTTAAAAAAATTAATTGTTAATTTTAACCTTCTTAATATATAAAAGTAATTAGGCCACCTTCTTAATTTTAACATGGTTCAAGCACACCATGTTTAATTTGTACTTTTCCCCTCCATGATCACGCGCCAATCCCAATTCTCCCTCCTTACATCTCTCTTCCGACTCCTTGTCTTCAACTTCAATTAGAGCACCATCAAATAGTTCAACTTACCCATAGAAATTATTCTCTCCTCCGACTCTTCATCTTCCGCTTGAATTAGAACCCCATCAGTTCGACTTTAATTGCCAACTGAGAGTTATAAATTCGCAGAGGATTAACTTTAATCCTTCCTTTGACTCTCTCACTCATTTATTGTTCATAGATTTAGGTTGTGGTGGTCAAACAAGTCATGATTTAGGTCGAGCAAGACAGGGGCATTGTGGTCGAACAAGTCAAATAGGGTGAAGACGTTGAGGTAACCAAAATTTCTATATCCATAGAGGTTAGAAATCTCTCATACTGGTTTTTGATTGCATATTTAGGTTATAAATCTCTTTGTTTGTCATGATTTCCAACATTAGGTCGAGCAAGACTGTAGCTGTGGTTGAGCAAGCTAGATAGGGGGAAGACATTCGAGTAATGTTTATCTTTATCTCTTGCCTAATTTAGGATATCTCTTTCTCTCTTGCCCAATTTAATGTTTATCTTTTTTGTTTGTTGTAGGAATGATCAAACTTAGACTTTCTCCATCCCATAAGGTTTGAACTATAACATATATCATCCACAAAGAGAGATTCAATCTTAGGTTAGTTTGTGTGCATCATCTATTTATTCTCTCTATATATACTGCTTCAACACCAATACAATTATTATATTTTGTTGATATAGAAATTCATAGAGAACTATATTATTTGATTATTTCAATAAAATACCATCGGGAATCAAACAATTAACTTAATAATTTATGTACTTTTGATAAGGCAATCTGTAGAGAACTAGCACCACCATGTTTGTGTTTAGGGGTGGCAATTTTTCACCCAACCCGCTGAACCCACCCAACCCACC